TGATCGAATCAAATCAAACATTAATTTGGATTTGATCAAATAAATCATTCTTTGATTTGAATTTGATTGAATCAAATATTCAAATATCAAATTGAATTGCGGAACCCTACTAATCTGCTTACTGCACATATTTTTTAACTTTAGGTGTCTTTAAGAATAGAGGGATATTGGAACTCTTTCTCACAGTACTGACATGTTTGATCAGCTAGTTTTTTTATTTCTATAGGAATGATATCTTTAGGATCCTTCTTTTTTATAATAAAGACATTACGCTGAGATTTGTGAATGGATAAAGGAATAGTAATAGTCTTTCTATTACATGTGGCTTTAAATTCTCCTTTATTAAAGACTCCCATCCAGTTCAATATTGCCATTGAATACCAAGAATTACTAAAGATTTAACATTTCCATTATGATCCTTTTCTGCAGACACAACAGAAAATTCATTCATAATAATAGCTGTATTTTCTCTAGAATCAATTGTTATGGAAACATTATTTATAGTACCAATAGATATTAATTAACTTGCAACTCTATTAAGCGCATGAATATTTTTCCTATCAATTTTAATATTCAACAGTTCTTCTACAGCTTTGCAATATTATCTGAAAAGATAGAAGAATCAGAGTCTATATCTATCATTGCGTATAGAATTATTAAACCTCATATTTTGTAATAAATAGTTGTAATATCATCAGCATTCTTTATTCAAAGAAAATTTATCTCCAAAGGCTTGAGCCAATAAATTTGGTTATTTTTTTCCAGCTAAATGACGTTATGCATATGCCTTAATAGCATAGTTTAAAGTATGAGAATTAATCTTTTCTGATGATAATACTTTCATAACTTGATCTTTTGCCTGAACATCTTTAGCGTTAAATACTTCTGTTTTAGTATCTAAAACTTATAAAAGAGGTATCTACTTGGTATTAGTTACTTGGATTAGGGAATGCAAAACATCTATAATCCTCTTTGAATTGTATTCACATACTATTTCTCTTTTTCTAACAGGATTGTCTTTCATAAGATTATTCAGAATTGGGATTTTCAGTTTATTATATTTCATATTAAGATGATGGAAAACTTCTATAAGAATTTCTCTAGGATAATGAGGGACTATTGATACTATCATAAATTTTAAGATAGCTAAAAAAACTTGATCTTTAATTTTTGTTAAGATTACTACTTTATTAGATTTAGAAGTAGAGGATTTCTTGGACTCTCTTTTCTTTTTTATAGGTATTGCATTTCATACTACTTTTTTTTACAGCATAGCAGTTTTAGCCAGAGATATTTAAAGCAGATTTATCATCATCAACATATTCAACATATTCATCACTCTCCTCAACTTCTTCTTCAACTATGTATTCTATTTTAGGCTTTTGAAATCTCCTTCTCCTCAACTATATATTCTATTTTGAGTTTTCAGAATCTTTCTCAGCATTTTAGTCATTTTAGTATACATAATTAACCTTTTTAATCCTCTAAACTCCAGGGCAATTAACCTTTATATGGCCAGCCTTTCTACAGACTGAGCAATAACAAATAACTTTTTATGAGACAATTCGTTTAATTGGTACTTTTTGTACTATATTTCTAACAGCTTTCTTTGTAATATTTGTATTTCTAACCTTTAACTCTGAGAAGGGGGTTCCTTCTAACATTAGATACTTTTTGTCCTAACCTTTTACAAAGTTCATCATAGATATGTGATCCTAAGGTTGAGATATCCATTACTACACCTAAATAATCTTAATCCTTTGCAAGACAAGTTATAAATTCATATTCAGCTTGTGAATCTTTTTGTATAGATAAATGTAATAGAGTTTTTTTACTGAAGGAGAAAACACCTACCCATTCATTAGCTTCTAACTATTTATTATTAAATTGGGTAAAAAAAGCATTTAGATCTGCTAGATTTCCAATTTTAATTTGTAATTTCAAATTTTCAGGTAAATGACTATAAAGAATAAGTAGAACATCTGCAAATAGTAAAGCATCTATATGTAGTCTAATCCATTTTTCATATATTTTTAGAGTATCAATAGAAAGAAATTTATCAGACATAAGTGCTTTCATAGAAGCCTGTGCTGAACCTAGTTTTACTGCACAATATGTTTCTCAAAGCTATGCTATAAATAATACTGGTGTATTAATAGCATTACCAACAATATTATTAAATGGGTTAGGAGGAGTAAATCTTCTTGCTATCTTTCCTGCTAATACATTAGTTTTCATACTATCATTAAAGATTGCAACTTCTAATGAATTGCCATAATTAATTGCTTGCATAACCTTATTATAATAGTCATTTGGTAGTTCTTAACCAATATATTGCAGTATTTAAGCTAAAAGTAGGCTATTGAATTTAAAACATCTGGTTGAGTAGCCATATTTCCAGTGGATTGTTTTATAAATTCAAAATAATTTGTCTCAAATTTATTTTTCAAGTTTTTCATTTTTAATATTGATTAAATACTCAGATTTAATTGAATTCTGCTAAGTTATCCTCAGCTTTGTGTCTTCGATTTATTAACCAAAGGCCTATCTTTTCTTATAATAATATATGATTACACTTTTTTGCTCTCTGAGTCCTAAGCCACTATATCTAACGCTCATTTACTTCATTATTTAGAGCTTATATTAGCATTTGGTTATCATTATATGATCTTGTTCAATCTTTTTGCAATTGTTATCTTATATTTCTGGCTCGTCAAACACTTTATTCTACTATCATATTTCGATCTTACTAAAACTAATGAATTGTAACAGTATAAGTTATAATAGCTAAACATATACTAACTCTATCAAATTGTCCTCTTATATCATCTGGAAGAATAACTTCAATATTATTCAAATGTATTTGAATTATTGTTAAAAAAGCTGAAGCCTCAAATTGCCTATCTAAAATAGCTTGTATTTTATGTTTCATATCTAATATTTCTTTATTATTTGAAACTTTTTTTTGACTTAGACCAGTTATTTTATAAATACGGGTCTTAAATTACTTAATCTTATCTTCTAATCTTAAAATATTGATATTTTGAATAGTACTAGCATTACCTTTATGTCTTAAATCCTGCAATGCTTTTTGAAAACGTTGTTTAAGAGATTTTATCTCAGTTTTAAAAGATGCTATCTCATCTTTATGAACTAAAATTGTAGAATCTTACTGAAATATAGTTTTATAATATACATCTAGCTTCTTGTTAAGAGCCTTAAGCTTTTTATTGGAAAATATCATTTGAGACTATTTTATTTGCCAATTCTTTACACAACTCTTTATTAGTATCAAGGATTTCAATATAAGCCAGGTCTATGTCATTGATTTCTATTATACAAATAAATTTGAGCAAAGCTAGAAATTTAGATATATCTATTGATTTGTAAAAAATTTGTTACCAACCTTTAAGTTATTAGAGAACTGTAAAAAAATTACATAAAGCTTCTCTAAATGCTGGGTTTGATTTTACCTTAAATGAAGAATGTGATTGGCTTGAGAGACAAGCTGTGCATCAGATTCATAAACCTTATCCTAGAAATATTTCAAATGCATCTTTCATTAATATTAGTATACTTATGAAGGTTATTCAAGCTGACTTATGCTATATGCTAATCAAATTAGAAATAAAATTTATAAATTTACACTTAATTGTGTAAATATTGCTACCTGTATAAAATGGACCTATCCTTTAACTAAATGTAATTCTGCTAGTATTGCTATAGGCTTTAAGAAACTTTTTAACTCCTAAAATGTTTGCTTATTTGGCCTAAAAAAGAATTAATGATGAATAGGGGTGTTGAATTTTCAGGGTGATGTTATTAGATTAATGAATAAATATTGTATCAATATTCTAATAGCTAATTCTAAAGAAAGTATAAGTATTGTTGAAAGGTTTAATAAGATATTACAATAATGATTATCTATTATTTAAGATGCTGTTGATATGAGATTACCTCTATCAGAACATTGTCAAACTTGGATTAGAAACCTTCCAATTTTTCTTGAGAATTTTGATAATTTTGTGACTTGTCTTCTAGGTATTTCTCCTGCTAAAGTACGAAAACTGAAACATGTTTATACAAAACCTTCTAAGCCTCGAAACAGACCTATATAGTTTGATGAAAAACAATTAACTTATGATATTCGTAAGATATTTAATTATTATATATTTAAGATATTATACAAAATTATAAAAATTTGCTAATTCTATAATTTACTTAATATTTTGATTTAATTTACTTATTTGTAAAATAAATATAAAGTTTATATAATATAATAATATTATAAAATTAGAATTATATATTAAATATAAATAATTTTTTTTATATTTATATATTATAAAAGAAAATTTATATTTTTATAATTAATTAATTTTATCTTTCTATAATAAGATTATTATTTACAACTTATATAATTAATATATTTTTATTAATATAACATAAAATTATATAAGAGCTTTATAGTAGAAAAAAGGAAACTTTAAAAAAATTTTTTTTAAAATAATGTTAAATCTGAACTTATTTAATTAAAAATATCATATTTGGCTTATAAAGTAAATTTTCATTTTTTTAGAGTTTCATTTTTTTTTTACTACAAAGTTCCTCCTATATATATATAAATGAAATTAAAATATTGTAACCCAAATGATCTTCAGGAAATTAGAAATGCAACATAGTAAAGTGATCTGCAAATGATTATCATGTGAATTGATCTGCAAGAATCAATGACACAATAGTCGGCAAAAGGTGAT